TTTTGGATGGATAACCTTCTCAATCTGCACTGGACCCTCTCTCCTAAGCTGTGGATGCCTTCCTTCACATTCTAATTTTCTGATATTCCATCATTTCCTTTGGTTTGTCCACAATGGACGTGTCTTTCAGTTCTGTGCCCTTCCCTTCAGCCTAGCCATGGTCCTGTTATGTTTCCAACAGGTTCATGCATTCATATTCTTGACAAATGCATCTTCTGAGTCTTCATTTCTACTATTATATGAATGATTGGCTTTTCCTGGCCCCACCTCAACAGGATTTGGCAATTGCTACCTCCATTTTTCCTTGGGATGCCTTGTCAAGCTTTCCAACTCCCTCTCAGTATTTTTTTCCACCTGGGATTTTTTCAAAACTCCTGTGCAAAGCAGTCTCAATCCTCTCCCTTGCATCTCCTCACCATAGAAATTTTGATTCCCAAAGCACTTCTCACTCCTTTTCATCTTACACAAGACGTTCTCTTACTTTGGGGGTTTGCTTCCCTTAAAGTGCTGATCTCTCTGTCATGTGCATGTGTCCCCTTGAATGAGCTCTGAGAAATCAGTGGAACATTTTTTGCAATCTCTTATCTGCCTTTGGGTTTCTACCTTCTTCTCTTCATCTCTCTGTGTCATGGTGGCTCTATGACACTTGTTCAACTTGCATCTTTACTCCAATGCTTCACTTTCCAGTTGGGGTCAATTTTCAACACCACCACTCTCTCCAGGCTCTAGTCTCCAGAGGAGCATTTTCTACATGTCAACATTCTGGAGCTGATTGCAGCTTATCAGGCTTTGGTCATGGTTGTCCAGTCATCAGTCATCTTGTGATGATCTACATGGACAACTGTGGTCATTTCTTACATCAACTACCAGGACTGTTCTCATGGACTGCTTCAAGGCCTTTCTCTTGTTCTCATGAGTCTCTTCAAGACCTTTCTTTTGTTCATTGAACCCATCATCCAGACCCTGTTTACAGGACCTGTGCTTTTGTGCTTTGGACATCCTTAATTTGGCCTTTGATCGCTATATTTTCCTTATGGCATTCTATAGCTCAGGGGATTTGAACCTGGTGTTGAGTCATTTGTTTTGACTGGTCATGATCTATTCATGAAATGATCTGAATTCTTTTGTTGAATTTGTTTCCATTTTGGGACCCCTCAGATTAATGCTTTTATGACTCTCCTAAATTCTAAACTTTCTTTTGGTAACCCATCCCAGACTCAACTGCTCTGGCCGGAATTGGTCCAACCTCTTCCTCTATGTCTATTCTCCTCTCCACTGTTTTTCTTGGATACTCTGTTGTTTGCAACACCCATTGTCATGTTCTTGTGATTGCTCCTTTGTGGCCTACTAAATCATGGTTTCTCCTTCCACTTTGCTTGTCATCTGGGGAACCATTTCCCTTCCCTCTCTGAGCTCTTTTTTCTGTCAATCTCAATCTTCCATT